TGGGGGTGTAAAGTAAGGCATAGGGAATATAGTCAATAATATTCTAATAACTATGTATGGTGTCAGATGGATATGAGATTTTTCGGGATGATCACTTACTAAGTTTTCTAATGTCTAATCCCTGAGGTGTACACCTGAAATTAATATATTATAGTCAAATGTAACTGAAAAAATAAAAAGATCAATCAAAATTTATTCTCACCTTTATCTTGAAACTACCCAAGGTGTCTTCTTGTCCTTTCACATTCATATAAGGAGTGAATCCATTAGCACCTGCTAACTTTTTCTCCAAAAGGTCTGCTTTTTGCTCTGCCCTTTCTCTTTCAACCAGATGTACTCTGTGTAAGAAAACAGTGGGTAACAATGTCATGAAACCAACTGAGTATTCAAACTTCAATTAAAAATAATGAAATAAGACCTAGCTGGTGTGGCTCAGTGCTTAGCGTGTCAGCCTGGGCACCAGAGGATCATGGGTTTGATTCCCAGTCAAGGACATGTACCTGGGTTGCAGGTTTGATCTCCAGCCTCATTTGGGGCATGTGCGGGAGACAACCAATCAATGTCTCTCTCTCACATCAATGTTTCTCTCTCTACCCCTCTCCCTTCCACTCTCTCTCCATGTGCCTTTGACTGGAATCAAACCAAGACCTTCATTTCACAGGCAGACACTCTATCCACTGAGCCAAACCAGCTAGGGCTAAGCCTGTATGGAAAAAATATCCTCACTACTTGGATAAGGGTTAAAATAATATTAATAATAATGAAAACAAATATTCCCCATTAAAAATATAGTAAATATGTGTATCAAGTAAAAATGTGACTATTTCTAAGGAGAGACTAGAAATGGTAGAGAAATGGAGAGAAATACAATCCAGTGTTAAGTCCTGTAGTAGTTACCCTGGGGGAGGTCAATTTTGAAACCATCCTTTTCAAGGGGAAATTTGAGTATGAATATTTGCCTGCCACTACTGGTAATAGTGTGATGATCAGGAGGTTCCACATGAATACAAGTACTCCTATTTTAATAACACCTGAATGGGCTCTCCTACTGGGATTTGATGAGGGAAAAGGAACAAGAAATAATGATACAGCAATAGAGAACAGCATATCTAAAAACGTTATTTATTATCAAATATTTAAACAGCTAATTATTTGGTTCTTGTTTGATTACTAATTGCAAGGTATTGGTAATATTTTCTACCCTGTAGCTAGGTTAAAGTTTCAATTCATCTTCCATGATTTTTATGTCCTTTTCTAAGAATTGCATCCTACAGAATTAATAAATTTGAGTTAGGTCAACAGAAATTATCTGAATAATCTAAAGAAAATATTTAAATTCAAAAATTATGTTAGAGACAGGTAGGACACACGCAATAGGTATAACATACCTGTAGGTCTAACATATTGTAGCCATAGAATGAGAATAGAGACAGAATGGGACAGAAACAATATTTGAAAAAATAATTTCCAAGAATTTTCCAAACCTGATGAAAGACATCAATTTATAGATTCAATAAATTCTGCAAATCCTAAGCCTTGCCAAGACATATAGTCAAATTGTTATCAATTAAAAGCAGTCAGAGAAAAAGCACACGTTACCTCAAAAGTACAACAATAAGACTGATGACTGAGTTTTCAACAGAAGCTATAGACGCCAGAAGATAACTGAATGACATCTTAGAGGGCTGAAGTAAAAATACTGAAATCCAAGAATTCTACTAGTATACACAATAAAAAAAAATACCCTTAAAAAAATGAAGATGAAATAAACAGTTTCAGAAGGGGAAAAATGGAAAAATTGTCAGAAGAACTGCATTACAAGAAACCTACAGACAATTTCTCAGGATGAACAAAAATTATCCTTAGTGTGCACAGAACTGTAGGAAGGAAGGAAATGCATCAGAAAGAGAAAATAGGAATTTATACTGGCAGTTAATTAAAATGATAATATCTTATGGGATTTATAACACTTGAAATATTAAAATATAACAATAGTACAAGAGCATGAGATAGCTCAATGAAGTTGAATTGTCATAAGGCTTTTATTTTGGAATATC